GGTGAGGTGCAAGTTGCATTCGAGGCAGAATGTATGCCTAAGAGCATGCGCTACTTGTTGTTTAAGATGCAAATGTGTTCCGCCAGGCCAATATGGGAACCTAGACAAATGTGGCAAATGTTATGCTAGTATGACCACCCGCGGTGGCAGGCGCAAGTGCCCATGAAAATTGAGATTGAAGCTCTAAGATGGATTATATAGGAACTGTTGCATGACTTTGCATATGTGAATTGTAATAGTTGACTAGCACCAGTAATAATTTTCAGATGAGATTTTGATAAACAAATGCCCTACTTGACACAATGACTGGCTGGGTCATTTCATTCCATGTCATCCCTTTGCTTCAGAAGTTTAACACTAATGTATTATGAGATTAGTGCAGTTTTATTATATCTGCTTTTCCTATTTTACTTTCTCCTTTTTCTTCCTTGTGTAAGTAAGAAGAGCAGCTAGTAGCTCTTACTGATTAGGGTCTCCACAGAATATGCTATTTTTAGGGTGAAAGTTGAATAAAACGCTACCTTCTAACTCTATAAGCTCTGGATAAAAAGAAAGTAGCAAAAAGGCTCTCTGGTGGGTTTATGCAAGTTTGTCAAGCTTTTTTATATACAAGGCAAGATAACTCTTGCGATGCTCGTTTAGGGAGCAGTACAAGTAATCGATGATGTGAAAAACGCAGTTTAAGTAACCATAGCAAATGCACAAGTTTACTGTAACAACCCGCCGGTCGTTTCATGAGTTATCACTCCGTTTTCCCCATTTTTACTTCTTTATGTCTTGTTCAGCTATATTATGTGGCATCGGGTTGGTCGATTCGGGTTCGGAGTGGTCTTGTGGAGGATTGAGACACTTAGTCTCTCAATTTGGCCATTTAGTTGGAAAAGTCAACCGGAAGTTGATTTGTGAGTAAATTATCTCGGAATTTAGTTTTTATGATTCAGATAGCTTCGTGAGGTGATTTGGTACTTAGGAGCGTGTTCGGAATGTAATCTGGAGGCCCGTGGTAGATTTAGGTTTGAATTGGCGAAATTAGAATTTTGGCGCTTTCCGGTTGGTAATGGAAATTTTGATATCGGGGTTGTAATGGAATTCCAAAAATTGGAGTAGGTCCATTGTGTCATTTGTGACGTTTGTGCGAAATTTCAGGTCATTCGGAGGTGGTTTAATAGACTTTCTAATAGTTTGCGGGATTCGGAAGTTTTTTGGAATCCTTAGGCTTGAATCCGAGGGTGTTTTGACGATTCAATGTTGTCTTGAGTGTTCCGAGGATTGGTACAAGTTTGAATAGTGTTATATGACTTGTTCGTACTTTTGGTTGAGGTCTCGGGGGCCTCGGGATGATTTCAGATGGTTATCAGGAAGTTGGAAGTTAGAGTTTGCAGCTGAAGAGTTCCTGTCATAACCGCACCTGCGGATTGGGGCCCGCAGAAGCGTGGAAAGGGCCGCAGATGCGGCCAAGGTTGTGAAGGGCAGGAGCAGCAGATGCGGAGTGCTGAGCGCACCTGCGATGGCGCAGGTGCGGGTATTTGAGCGCATATGCGATTTTTGGGCGGATAAGTGACTTCCGCAGGTGCGCACCTGGGACTGCAGGTGCGAGTAATAAGGCCGCAGGTGCGGTATCGCCGGGCAAAACATATAAATAGATGCCTTCGCGAATTTTTTCTAAGTTTCTCCATTTTTGAAGACGGGAAGAGAGCTAGGGCGGTGATTTTTCAAGGGAATCAAAGGTTTTCAGTTGGGTAAGCTACTTAAGCTTTATTACTTGTGTTTATGACCATTTTTCTATTGCCTAATCATGGTATTAGTGGAGAATTAGGGAGGAAAGTTGGGAGATTAGGACTTGAAATTGGAGACTTAGATTTAGGGATTTGAGGGCTCATTTGTAGTCGAATTTTGGTGTATTTGGTATGTATGAACTCGTAAGAGTGTAAGGATTCTAGTTTTGTGAATTTTATCGGAATCCGAGACGTGGGCCCAGGGGTCGGGTTTGACCAATTTCGGGACTTTTGAGTTAAATTGATAATTTTCGTATGGGTTTCACTCCTTTAGCGTATATTGATGGTTATGTACTGATTTTGGTTAGATTCGGGGCATTTGGAGGCTGAATTGAGAGGCAAGGGCGTCGCGGGCTAGAGTTTGGCTTGGCTTGAGGTAAGTAACGCCTCCAAACTTGGTTCTAAGGGTTCGAAACCCCGAACTATGTGTTCTATGATTACTATTGAAATGACGCAAATGCCAAGTGACGGGCGTGTAGGCATGCACCGTGAAAATTGCGGCCTGGGTCATTCCATGGCATCGCTTAGGGACTCTTTCATGCTGATATTTGTGTTGTATTTACGTGATTAAGTTAATGAGCTACAAATCATGCTAATTATCATGTTAAGGCTTCACGCCAACCCTGTTGAGACCCGAGAGGTCGTTTCTTGCTGTCATGCCATTAGCTTCATTAATATTATGTACTCAGTCCCGTTCATGCATATTATATCATGCCTAAGTCTCGATTATTGCTATTTGACATATCATATCATTGTTCGGGCTAGTATCATGACATTTTTGGGCTCGTGTGTGTGACTGGAGAGAGTAATGACTGAGTGAGGCCGACAACATGATATTGAGTGCTAGTATGGGATCGGGCCGCACGCCGCAGCGAGATATTAATCAATCATGCCTTCGTTGGCTTGATATAGCGCTTGGGCTAAGAGAAGCCCCTCCAGAGTCTTTACACCCTAGTGAGCGCGGTTGATGATATTGAGGGATGGATCTTCCCTGGACATGGACCTTGTCCGAATTATTGATATCTGGAGATGGATCTTCTCCACAGGGCTGGATTGGCCTTCCTCGGTACTGGATGACTGCGGTCAATGATGTATATATATATATATATTCCGGGATGGATCTTACCTGGGCCGGATGGCCATATACAGTACCGAGTGGTTGAGCACTTGTGAGTGGAGGTATTATACGTAACATTGATCATGCTATCTGTGCATTGGCACTTGGAGGTTCCTGAGCTTTATACTATGTACTGTTCATACTATGTTTAATCACTGTTGAAAATTTACTTGAACTGCAAACATGTCTACTTTTCTGTACAATTAAATGTTACTACCTGCAGAGGTTTGGTTCGTCACTACCGTCAGTCCATAGTTTGGACTTGTTACTTACTGAGTTGGTGTACTCACGTTATCTCCTGCACCCTTGTGTGCAAATCCAAGTGTTTCGGGCTACGATAGCGGTTGTTGATCACATCGGTTGAAGACTTTCCTTGGAGATTGCGAGGTAGCTGTCTGGCGATCGCAGTCCCGCCTTCTCCATCCTTATCTTCCTTTTTAGCGCATATTGATGGCTACTCTCAGACTGTATTAGTCTTGTTTTATTTCGAACCATTGCAGTATGTTGCTCATGACTAGTGACACCCGTGGTCGGGCTTATATTTCTTTTCGCTTGTTTTGATTTCTACTTTAACTTTTATTGGAATTCTGTTAAAAATATGATTTTCTTAAGTTTTAACTTGGAATATGGAGTAAATGGATAATAGTTGGCTGGCCTAGTATCACGATAGGCGCCATCACGACCAGGTCAGTTTTTGGGTCGTGACATTTACTATAAGAGTTTTAATTTCACTACACACGGATAGAGATGTAGGTTTCTTACACCATCATGTTGACCTGCAAATACAACAACAAATAACTTTTCATCCTATATACAAATGCTTGTTTCTTTTATTTTTTACCCTCCCCAAGAGTTTTCCACTTTGCTCCTTTGGGGACTCGAACCTGCAACCTTAGTGTCGGAGGTGGAGGGTCCTTTACCACTTAAGCAACTCTCTCGTCTAAACAACTTTGCTTGACCAGGCAAACATGGCCCTCTAGCTTCGGGCTCCAATTTGATTTGCACTCTTATGTTTAGCTGTGAGAGCGCGAGTAAGAGCACTCACACCCTATACGCATCAGCAGATGAGTTGCTTCTCATTGTCATCTCCTTTCTCTCTGTCCTTAAAATCCAAGCTTCTCAAACTGTTTGACATTCCTAGATTCGCATGTTAGCCTTGCTGTATCTGTGGCCTTATTAATCAGTTATTTGTACTGCATCTGACTTCATCATTAGTGGATGCCTTGTCAAATTGCTTTTGATGTACTTATGCTTTTTGCTTACTAGTTACTATTATGCATATGGATATTCTAATCAAAATGTGTACTCATGCCTTTTGCTCTAACAAATGTATACACGAAAGACATATGAACTCACATACACATCAATCTTAGAAGTATAACATCTGGTTACGTTTTAGAGCAACAATGGCCACCTACTTTAAAAGGAAGATGTAACATGTAAATGAAAAGATTCAGAAATACCTGTTATTTGTCAAAACCAGTTTCATGATGACTCCAAGTCCAAGTAGAACTATTATATCTATTGCAGTAATATAAGCATTATAAAATCTTTTTCAATTGGCATCCTCTGCAAAGAGTCACACCATTGTTAATCTGAGGGGAAAAGTAAAAGAAAGAGGCAAACACATTTCAGAAGTATCACAATAGTGGCTGCAGCAAGCTCTTGAGAAAAGTACAAAATGCTAGAGTACTCTATTCCTAGTAAAGCTTAATTTTAAGTCCGTAAAAATCAAACCTCCATAGCAGTACCAAATATCAGTATCTCGGTGTAGCTTCAATGTCTAGTAATAACAAGTCGAGATCAGCTCTGCTTAAAAAAGAAATACCTCTTTCAAGTAGTTAGATAGTGAGAAGGCTTTGCTCTATTCTTGTTCTCTTTCATTGTTGATCCACGAGGATGATTGAATCTAAACTCAGGAGTTCATTTTGCCTCTAGTTAGCAGTAAATACATACTATTACAGACCCTTCAAGAAACTAACAAAGAGAAAAGAGCATTATATGTTCCAATTTTTCACAACCAGAGGAAAGCTGATCAACTCAACATCAATCACAGCTAACTAAACAGAGCGGATGTAAACCACAAAAGATTCACAGAAGAAGCCTTATTCACACAAGAAATGAAGAATACAATCTGGTATTCAAGGATGGCCAAACAATAGTAGAAGACAATGGGCTCATGTTAAAAACATTTTCCCAAAACCATAACACACTGTTCAAAATCTTTTCTTTACAATTTCAACAATCAAGAAACCGATATTTACTTTGTCAAATCCACACATTGTCTCAAAAGACACCACAAGCAAACCTAAAATCCATTTTGTGAATGGAAAACCTTGCCTAGTTACAATTTCATGTCCAGAAAAAAAAGCACTTAATACCCAATTAAGGGAAGAAAACTATGCAGAATTTGTATCACCATCAGAATTAAGCAACTCCTCCCAGTCAATTTCTTCCTCCTCTTCGTCTTTCTCCCTCAACACCTGCAATATCTTCCTAACTTTATCCTTGGCTTTCTCACCTTCCAAAATTTCCTCAAGTGTTATCAACAAGTCTTCTGCAGCAGCCTCTTTTGCCAATCCTTTAAACCTAAGTCCACCATGACTTAGTCCATATAATGCAGTAACACAACTCTCACGAATAGATTCTGCATCAAACTCTCCCTGTCTCAACATACCCACAAAACACTCCACAGCACCCCCATCAAGCATAGATCCTCTCCCCTCTAAACTCGCTGCCATGTTACACAATATTGACAGAATTCGTCCCGTCATATGACCTGTTCTCACCATGCCTAATAGCGACTGAACCGCCCCGAGTTTCACCAACTTAGCCCTGTTACTCTGAACCAAAGAAAGATGATACAGTGCCAAAGCCGAATCATGCCGCATCCGTTCTGACTCAGAACGGAGAGAGTGAAGCAGAGGAGGCAGTGCCCCCAAAACCCCAATTGCAGTTTTGTTCTGATCATCTAAAGCTAAACTGAAAAGTGCACCTGCAGCATGTTCTTGCGATTCAGGGAATCCTCCTTTTAACACGTCAATTAACGGCGGAACAATTCCAGAACGAACAATCTTCACCTTGTTTCCATTTTCTAAGGAAAGGTTCACTAGCGCTGCTATGGAATTCACCTGTACTGAAGCATATCTCGAGGAGATGACAGAACGGAGAGCTGAGAGCAAACGAGGAGTGCAGAGCTGAAAACGGGTTTCTTCCCGGGTCCGGGTCAGCTTTCTAAGTGAGATCACAGCTTCTTCTTGTTCAAACACGTGGGAGCTCTTCAGTTTGACGATGAGTTCATCTTCTTCACACGACTTGGGGTTTGTGGGGTCCATTTCTGAGGACGATGCTGAAGAGTAACAGCAGGGTCGAGTTAGAGCAGTTGTGGGTCCACTCGTAGGAGTCACAGACTCCTCAGAAGTAGTAGAAATTTGACGATTCAACAGTGTTACAGACTCAATGAACCGGTTCATAACATCACAATTCTTGGTATTATTGGTGTTTTGGGTAGCCATTAACGTACGGACGAGATTTTCAGCAGAGAGGAAATCGAGGGGTATAGGAGGATCGATATGGGAAGAAGAGCACCAGTTGAGAATGGTGGATTTGAGGGCGCGATTAGGGATGATAGTGGAGAAATTGGGAATAGAATTATCAGGTAAAATGGGGGTGAAAGAGAGGGATTTACAGGCAAGAACACAGTGACGTTCGAAGGTATGGCCTGAAGAGACAATTATAGGATCAGCCATAAGAGAACCAGAAATTGGACAGATGAATTCCATTGGAGGGTGTTTTACTTTTATTGGAGATTTGTGGAAGGAGATTCTCCATCTTTGCTTTCCACTTCCCATTTTGATGTTGCAGAAATGGACTCGTTAATGAAATTTGAGTCTAACTGAATCCTCCATAGGTTGAGAGATGTGTTTGAGTTAGAGGAGAAAAGGAAACATGATATGAAATTTCAGTATGGTAGAATGGTCAGGGAAAAGGCAAAAGGAATTGAAGAGTGAAGCTGCTAATCATTCAACTAAAGTGCCAATTCTTAACTTGATTACTTTGTAATTTTATTTCTCTTCTCTTTCTTCTTATTATTTAAAAAAACTTTATTTCATTTTCAACGGGGAAGGCTCTTAAAGGGTTGTTCGATGGAGTAGCTAGTTGCACCACAATGAAAAAACTGAAAAGGGCCAAATATACTCTTTTACTATCACAAAAAATTTAAATATAATTTTCGTTATATTTTGAGTCCAAATATATCACGTCGTTATAATATTGGTTCAAATATAGTCCTTTTCTGTTAAGTTTATCCAAAGTTGTGATGACCCGATAGGTCATTTTCAGTTTTAGCCTTTATTTCTGTGTTCCGAGACCTCAAATAGCTATGTTTAGTCTTTTTTGATTTGCGTGCATAGTCCGTGTCTTTTTTCAGAAAAGTTTTATGTGAAAAACTAAAGAAAATGTGAAATTTTGCCATAAACTCATTTGAGTTGACTACGGTCAATGTTTTGTGTAACGAATCCGGATCAGTATTTTTACGGTCCCGGTGGATCCGTATCGTGATTTGGGAGTTGGGCGTATGCCCAGAATCGAATTCGGAAATTCCAAACTTGAATTATCGTGATTTGTTGAAAACTAGCAATTTAAAGGTTTAAAGAATTCTTAAGTTTGACCGTAGGTTGACTTTGTTGCTACAGGGTTCGGATTTCAATTTCGGAACTTGGTACAGGTTCATTTCAGTATTTTATGACGTTTTCCAAAAATTTGGTGCAAAACGAAGTTGATTTGACGTGATTCGGACGTCCGGTTGTAAAATTGCATGTTATTGAGTTACTTTGAAAATATCATTCCTTTTGATGTCTGATTCGTAGTTCTAGGTGTTATTTTGATGTTTTGATCGCGCGAGCAAGTTCGTATGATGTTATTACACTTGTGTGCATGCTTGGTTTGGAGCCCGAAGGGCTCAGGTGAGTTTCGGATAGGCTACAGAGTGATTTTTGGACTTAGGCTATTGTTGGTTTTTGGAGTCTAGTGATGTCTAGTGTATCCTTCTTCACGATTGCAAAGATACTCCCGCGATCACGAAGAGTATTCTTGGTTGGGGAGGTTTTTTCTCTATGCGAACGCGAGGCTGTGTACGCGAACGCGAAGCCATGGTGGGATCACCCTTCGCGAATGCGACCAGCACTACGCGAACGCGAAGAGTAAGGGGCCTGGAAGGAGGAGCAGGGGTTTGTTCTATACGAACGCGAGCCAAGGCTCGCGAACGCGACGGTCAGGGGGGTCAAACCATCGCGAACGCGATGGTCAGGGGGAACAAACCATCGCGAACGCGTGCAACCCCTCGCTAATGCGAAGGCCTTTTGCCGCTGCTGCTTCGCGATCGCGTCAGGTGTCTCACCTGACGCCCAGACTTTAAAACTTCTAAAAATCGGGATTTCACCCATTTTTCACCATCTTCTCATTAGAGCTCGGCCTAGAGGCGATTTTGAAGAGAGATTTTATCCCCACTTTGTAGGTTAATATACTTTAACTCGTTTTCTTCCATTTCCATCAACACCTATTGATTTCTAACCTTAATTTATGCTATTTCGTGGTAGAAGATTAGGGATTTGGGTAGAATTTGGGGTTTTGTAAAATTAAGATTTAGACCTCAAATTGAGACCGGATTTCGAAACTAATTATATAATCGGGCTCGGGGGTGAATGGGTGATTAGGTTTTGGTCCGAATCTTAGGTTTTGACCAAGCGGGACTGTGGTTGACTTTTGTTGATTTTTTGAGAAAAGTGTAAAGATCTTAACTTTATGCATTGTAATTGATTTTTCTAGTATTGTTTGTTGATATGAAGTCGATTTTAGTTAGATTCGATCAGTTTGGAGGCAAATTTTAGAGGAAAAACTCCAGTTGAGCTTTGATTTGCTTGCAGAGCGAGGTAAGTGTTGGATCTAATTTCGATTTAAGGTAATTAGAAACCCTTGAACCATATGTTTTGCGAATTATATATGTAACGACGTATCTGCGAGGTGATGAGTGTATATATGCCGTCAAAATAATTATTTCCATGCTTTTCTGTATTTCATTAATTATCTTATTCCATGTCTTAACGTTTACAATTGCTTTCTATGGCGTAACTTGTTACTTGTCATTTATTTACTCTTGTATTATAATGTTTGTTTCTTTCATGATTCCATGATTAATTGCTACTTGCCTTAATTGTCCTACTTGTATACTTTAACTGTCATATGTTTGGCTTGTCTTATTGCTTTGTATTAATTATAGCATTCCTTGATTTTGTACGGGGTTCCTTTATCACCTTGCTTTCATATTCTTTAATTATGGAGATTTATGTGAATTGAGTTGTTGGATTGATTATATTTATTGATTGGGTTACACGCCACAACGATTGTGATATGGTGGATTATGTGTGTTGTACTCATTGTTGCATTGCGTTAACTTTCAGTATTTTCATATGAGATTCTGAGGACTGATATTTCTGGTTTCATTGATTTCGAGGATTGAGTTTGCTTTCATCAATTAACCGATTTGCCGTTATTTCCTGTGTTCCTTTCATATTGTTATTATGATTATACTGTGTACAATTTATTGTAAGTAACCCGCCTGAGCCTCGTCACTACTTCGTCAAGGTTAGGCTCGGTACTTACAAGTACATGGGGTCGGTTGTACTCATACTATACTCTGCAGTTCTTGTGCAGATTTTGGAGTCGATCCTAGCGGCGGTCAGTAGATTGCTCGGATTCGGTGGTTTACGGAGACTTGAGGTACAACTGCACAACGTTCGCAGCCCTGAAGTCCCCTTCTATATTACTCTAGCTGTTTATTTCATTTGAGACAGTTATGTTTTCATTCAGACTTTTATTTGTAGTACTCTAGTCGCTCGTGTACTTGTGACATCAGTTCTGGAATTGTATCTGGATATCGTTGTTATTTTAGTTTACTTACTCTATTTCAGTTTATTCAGTTTCTTGGTTATTATTTAATTTGAATTGTTAAAAATGGCTAAAAATAATTTCTAACGTTGGCTTGCGTGACAAGTGAAATATTATGCGTCATCACAATTCCGAGGGTGGGAATTTCGGATCGTGACAAAAGTGGACATCCAATCCTACGTGACACTCACATTTGATGAGGTGGATGTCACATGGCTTGCCACCTCAGCGCTCCTAACCCATTTTACCCCTCCCTTTTATTTTTTTCGACCACTAAATTTTTTTCCCTCCTCCACTATTGCCATCATTACCGCTACCATAACAAATATTATATTTTAAATTTTAGTCTTTTATATATAGATTAGGGGTGCTGGGGTGGCATGTCATGTGGCATCTACCTTATCAAATATCATCGCCACCGGCCACGTAGGATTGGATGTGCACCTTGGACAAACTTAACAGAAGAGGGGTATATTCAAATCAATAGTATTATGGTAGGGTTATATTTCGACTCAAAGTATAACGAATGGTATATTTAAATCTTTTCTTATAGTACAGAAGTCGGAAAAAAAAGTTTATCCCTCCCTCACAATTTAGGTGTTGCATGTTTCTATTTAGGAAAAGTTAAAAAAATTATAACTAAATATATTGTTTAAATTAACTTTAATTTTTTTTACCATTAATAAGATGACTATTATAAATGACAAAGTTTAAAAATGTCTCTTTCTTTCTTAAATTTAGTACTCAATCAAATAATATGAAATAAAATGGGACAAAAAGAACACAACAAAGAAATAATTTATATATATGTTTATCATGAAAAGAACATTGATTAGCCCTCCCTGCAATTCTTTAGCTAAAAAACTTGATCCAGAGTATTTGGGATTTTATTATTTCCGGAACGCCCTCTGATATTCAAATTTGTTATAAAATAAAGATTGTAAAGTAAAGACAACTATAGAGAGAAACTGATATATTATTCGAATTCAAATTGATGTACATAATGAACTGAAATCTCTTCTATTTATAGAAGAAAGGAAGCTGTTGTGTAAGTTGCTACTATACCAGATATGGATAATCTTCTACTGAGAGCAATATTTATCCATAACAGAGTACTGAAAAGATAAGCTTATTATACCCAGTATGGATAATCTTCTACTGGGGATAATATTTATCCATAACTAGGTACTGAAAGGATAAGCTTATTATATCCGGTATGGATAATCTTC